TGGTGGCAGTGCAAAGTTGTGCGTTTCTTTTGCCAGAGTTGTGGATAACAAGGTCTCTGTCTATAAAAAATCTCTATAAAGCAACCTGTCAGTGGCAATTTGGATCGGCTCACCATGAATGGAGAGGTCAAACAGAAACCGCTCATTTCATGGACAAAAATGGCTATCACATACGGAGCTTGGCGCTACTTTCCCAGGATCTAGCAGACTGGCTACGGTTGGATGTGGGCAAAGGCATTCTGAATGCTACGCATTTATTTCTCCATCATTTGTCACGTCAGTCAGAAGCGTCCCTCGTTCCTCGGCCTGATCACGCACACGACTGAGGCGAACAGATGACACTGATCAGGTCCTGGTTCACAAGGAAGATGAACCTGAGCCCCGCGATCTCGACGACCGAGTTGTTGTTCAGCTTGTGCTTGTCTCCCGCCAGCACGGGCTTCCCGTCTATGTAGATGGGCCTCTTGCCTTCGTTGGCGATGATGAACTCGCCCGTGTTGCGGAGCTTGACCACGCCCTGGCGCCGGGACACCTTCCATGCCGGCCCCTCCAGAGACAGGTCCACGTCGATGGCACTGTCCTTGGTAGCACGGCCGATGGTGATCTCCTTGGAGCGCATCAGGTACCGTACCAGACGGCCCCGGAGCACGGCCAGCGTTTGGTTGTCGAAGTCAGCCGGCGTGACACCGGTGACGCTGTCCACCAAGACCTGCCACTTGGGCAGTTCGTTCTCGAGCTGCCGGATCTCCTGCTTGACCCCGCGGTCCATGAGGAACAGCTCGTGCTCCAGGGCTTCGTCCTTGGGCGAGCCAAGCGGATCCCTTTCGAGCTCCTCCTCGGCATCCGAGAAACTCAGCGTGTCTTCGCCCTTGGACCGCGGCGACACCGTCTGATCCGGCAGGAGGTAGTACTGCTTCATGAGCGTCCAGTGGTTCTGCAGTGCCTTGGCGGTGTGCGCGGCGAGGAACACGTCAACATGCTTCTCTAACAGTTCCTGGAAGTCTTCGAGCGTCGGCTGAGCAGTCGACGGGATCGTGCCCAAGAGCAGTTCTTCTTCTTCACTGAACAGGGCCTTGGCTTGGATACCGGCCAGAACGTCCGGATGGAGCTGTTTCATGGACGCCACGGCCATCTTGGAGATTGCGGGGTCGTAAAGGAGGGCGTACCACCGCTCCCGGATCTCTTGCAGGGTGAAGTTGCAGGAAAACTTGACGGCTCGAAAGACGGCTTCAAGATCGGTGGTCTGCTGGACCGCCAGGATGAGCGCGTAGTCGTCGTGCGGCTTCCAGCGGCCAAGGTCTTTGGCGACGACCGCCTGAGCGCTTTTCGAGGACTTCTTCACGCGTTTCGGGGTCGACTTGGAACTTTTTTTGCGCTCAGAGTAGAGCGAGGCGACGGATTCCACCTGACTGCTGTCCGAGAACGACGCCACCACCGATGTCAGACTGGACGACGCGGCCATGGGTCCGACTCCGGCGGTGAGTGAGCTTGACAAGGGACCGCCCAAGGGTCGCGCCCGCGACGTCTTAATGAGGCTGCTCTCGACCAACTCGTCGTCGAACTTTTTGCGTTTGATGGAGCGCGACGAACTGCGCCGTTTCTGCAGGTGTTCCGAGAGGTAGCTGTTTACCTTCATTCCCGGGTGAACCGCCGTCGAAGGAGGTCTGGGCACCGACTCGCTATCGGAGTTGGAGAAGTTAAGGTGTCCCATCGCTGTCGGGGGCGACTCGGGCGCCTGTGACACCTCGCTCACGTCTTGGGAGTTGTCGCTCGCCACGGGGCCCAGGATGAGATTCGAAGACATCGCGCGTGTTTTGACGGGCGCACGCAGTCCGACTTAGCGTTGGCGATCACGAAACGTTCGACGGGGATTCAGAAGACTCGGAGAACGGCAATGTTTTGTCTTCGACGAAGATTGCAGGCGCCGTAGGCGCGCAGATAGCGTCCTCCACTTTCTTCTGCGCTAAGGCTTTGGATTGAATCAACAGGATTAGATTCAAGAAGTTGCTTGAAACTTAGATGGATAAATAAATAAATATTAACTATGCCCTTTGTAACGGGCAGTAGCTTGCGCCACCTAGCGCTTTTTGTGTCAAAAGTGGTACCGCCAATTAACGTTAGGTACCGTTAACCAACTAACTAAAGGCCCGTTCATACTCTTGCAACCAAGTACGACCGAGAGAGTCGAGACTTCTTAAAACCTCTTAAAACTTCTTAGGACTAGAGCACTATATAGCTCCTACGGAGCAGAGTAGCGCAATCCTTTGAACCCCGTGTTTTGCCGACAACATGGCCGACAGAGCGGCTCGGCGCGAGTCACGTGGTACTCAGGGTTCCAGGAGGCGGCCTGCCCTATGGGAGAGTACATGGAGATCGACACAACACGGCTGATTAAAAAATGAACGGTGAGTTCACACTTTTCAAAACTAGTCTGTCGTGAAGTTAGTAAAGCACTAAACCATTTATCGAAGTTTTAATAATATCGGATGCATGTGCAAATTTTGAGAAGGCAATTTCCAAGGCAATGGCGTTTGAAGCAGACGATTTTTGCTCGCAGCGGAGATGGGCTTTTCGGGTTGGCCGGAGCGGGTCACGTGAATGGTGTGACGTCGCCGTGTCGTCTGCTGCATGATGCCGCTCAGGCAATTTTTTAAAAAAAGTTACGTACTTGCGGGGCACAAAACTTAGCGCAAATTATTCTAAAATGTTCCATTATTATGTCAAAAACAATTGCCATTCCGTACAACCCCACAATACTGAAGAAACAACGATTTTCTCACGTTCTCCATGCATTTCTGACCACAGTTGGAACCTCCGGGCGTTCGCCGCTAGTCGCCGAGAGGCGGCGTTCTAGATTGCGCTACTCTAGAGTTCCTGTATAGGCTCCCTACGGGAGCCAGAGTTGCGCATTTGTTTTCCCCGCGCCGCCACGCCGCTATTCGCCGAGATCCATCACGTGAGGAGCAAAGCATCCGTTGGCGTGCAAGAAAGCCACCTTTACGGTCGCTCCGCCGACGTTTCTCTTGCCCCGGCGTATGTTTCCCTGCTTTCCGCCTCATTTTCCTCCTCTCCTGTTTTCCATGCGCGGCGGCGCGCGCGGCGCCGCTATTCGCCAAATTTAGTCACGTGAGGAGCAAAGCATCCAGCCCATGCGGGAAAGCCGGCGCTACGGCCACGCGCCGAGGCTGAATGCGCAACTCTGCTACCGTAGGTAGCATATACAGGAACTCTACGCTACTCTGCTCCGAAGGAGCAGAGTAGCGCAATCTAGAACGCCGCCTCTCGGCGTCCTAAGTAGAGCACTACTTAGGACGCCTCTCGGCGTCCTAAGTAGTGCTCTACTTAGGACGAGACAAGGAGAGAACATATTGGCACACTGGCGCTATCTATGCAGTGACCCTGGAACCCATAGAGTTATTATAATGTACGCTAGAGGTTCAACTGGCGCTAGTGTCTACGCGACTTCCGTGACGCAAATTGAAGCAGACAGCAACCAGTCTCCTTTTGTGGTGCTCCCGTGCATTCCTATGGGAAAATGCGCGTGCAGTTTGTCTCTTCGCCGGAAAATAACACGGAACATTTTGGTTATTTGGGTCGTACCAAATAGTATGTACCTTGATTAACACTGTAAAAGTGTAATTGCTTTAGTTTGCGCATTTTTCTTCATCAGTGAACGATATTTAACTTCGCTACATTTCAGTCCCAAACGTGTGTTCCACAGCGGGTGTGTAAAAGCAAGCGACGATTCGAAGCAAATTTACGATCGAAACGAATATAGTGTGTGTTCAAGGCTCGCCAGCATTCCGGTGACGCTTATATATTGATAATATGACAGTCCTGTCACTATATGAAAATGACCCCGTCGTGCATGAGCGGATAAAAACATTCAAACCGTATAGAATAAAGTCCGTAGGTTATGAAAGGTGTCTCTTCGCCTTGTTTTCTCTGCCGGGCAGCTTTTATCGGGCACTTGTTCTCAAAGATTTCGAGGGTGCGGGTGATATTTTGAACGTAGAACGAACATCTTCGCTCAGAGCAGAAAGAATAAAGTGGTACTCACTTATTTAAAGTCGGAATAGATTACGTGGCCTTCAATTTATTTTGATCGTACATGCACTGCGAGTTACTGATCCAGTGTTATTGCGTAGTTCCTGCCGCCGCTCTTGATTTTCCAGATGTCCTTCGTTCGTTTGGCATGTAAATCCCCCATGCTGGAAATCACCCACGCCGCGTTCGCGCTAACAGTGTCCGACAGTGCACATAAATACACGTACGTAGCCGTTTTAGCACCGTTTTTAATGCGATGAATTCGAAAGAAAAACGCCGTAACTGACCAATTCTTTCGACGGCCTGACTGAGAAATGTTCCAAGCTACCTAGTACGTACGAATTATTTGGAATATTTGCTCTTGTGATCGAGCGCAGGGAGAAAATGCACTCGCTTTTTTCCATAGAAATGCATTACCGGAAGTCAATTTTCGACTGGTTGCTGTCTGCTTCAATTTGCGTCAGCACACTAGCGCCACTTGAACCTCTAGCGTACATTATAATAACTCTATGCTGGAACCATATGCCTGAAACTGCATTTTACAAGAGCGAAGGTTTTGCGGTATTTTCGAGGTCAAATGTGCGTAATACCTATAAGAAAGGCTCGTTCATAACGTTGACAAAAGTTTTTTGAGCCAAGAATAAAAGGACGATGCGCGAGAGAAATAGAAAATATGCCGGACCGCCAAGTTTACACTGCTACCCCATAGATAGCGCCAGCTCTCGTTGTAAGAGGTTTTAACTTTCAAGGAACCCAGTTTTAAGAGGTCGCAAGGGTCGCAAGAGTGTGAACGGGCCTGAACTTCACCTTATGTTGTACTTTAACGAAGGCTAGAAGTGCAAGCTCATAGCCAGAGCTCAGAGCTCTGCCCATAGCGTTCAGAGCAGGCAAAAGTGAACCTCCGCCATCTACCTCGTTGACCTTCGCTGGGCGCCGCCATGTTGTACAACTTTGACCACTTGGCACGTGACGAAAAGATGGCAGCGCCCTGTGGGAGTCGAATGCGTTGAGGGCGTCGATGTAGTGTGTGGATTTCGTGTTTTCAGAGTTTTGTGTGCTCTCTCGCGTAGGAATAACGTGGAGTACGAGGGGATGAGGCTTTTCGCGTGCATTCATTCAGGATAAGCCAGCTTCGGCCCCGTGCTTCTCGTATGGGTTCGGATCATTTCCGACCTGTGCTCTTCGGACATCGCTCGGTCGTTCGAGTTCAAAAGAGTTCTAAAGGTACGACGGACGTGCCCGGTCAATTTTCTTGGCGCGGTGGTCAAGATTCGCATTTGAGGCACCAAGAGAAGTGTTAAAATCTCTGAACTGCTCGGCGCTGAGCGAATTGGCGCTGAACTAGCTGGTCCGAGTCCGAACCTCCGTGCGCCTTTTCCTCAACGCTCGGAGTTTGGACCTTACTACGTGGTTCGTGATGACGTGAAAAGGGCTCCCGTCTGCCGAGTGCCGACTGCGATCGGTTGGCAGTCGTCATGGGCGTACCAACCGAGGGGGCCAAGGCGCTTGTGCCCCCCCCCCCCCCCCCCTTATTCTCAGAGTGTGTGTGGGGGGAGGGGGCGGCAAGGCAAGGCATGTGTTCTGCCCCCCTCCCCCCCCCCCCCCCCCCCTTCCCCTGAAACAGCCGCCACCGGGCAGGGCAAACACTGGCGCCCAAGGGATACTCAAGGGCAGGGGGGGGGGGGGGGGGGGGGGAAGAGGGGGAGGTCTGGTTTGCCCCCCCCCACTCAAAAACAAGTTGGTACGCCACTGGCAGTCATGTACACAAAACTGTACCAGCTTCTCTTATCATTATGTTGTTTTCGAGCAGCTTCCTTTTCACTGAACGTCGTCGTCGTTCAGCGTGCTTCAGCGCTACAAAAATTTTGAGCGCGCATAAAAAGCATTTGCTCATTCTCTGTCGCTTTTGTGCCTTCTAAATTTGTTTACAATCACCAATACCCGTGAATTGTGTTTTTTTCTGTGGTAAAAATAGATTTTTACAAATAATCTGAACTATTTAAACCATTTGAACGCTGTTGTATTTGCAGTCTGTGAACATAGCAGACAGCTTTTGACGCGCATCTTTTCGGTTCAGATTTCGACAGCTCGTCTTGCTCCGTCACTTTGCTAACTGAGACAAACGACCTTAAAAACAAGACCATGCCGAGTACCTGCGCCGCTATTGACTGTGCCAACAGGGGTAGCCGGGACTCGGCGATCTCGTATCACAGGTAAGTTTCTTAGTTCTTGAAGTCAACCTGGTCACGCCGTTAGCTTTGCTTGCCATCCAAACGTGTTGAGACTGTTTGACGTGGCGTGAATTTCTCTTCCGTCCCCTCGCATGCTAAAACGTCTGCAGCTCGCCTTCACGCACACATAGTGCTTTATGAGGAAAGCAGCTTATAAGCTGATCCCACTGCTCAAAACCTCTTCACTTAAATTCATGCCTCCCACAAGAGGAAATGCGATTCACTTCAGAAGTATGGCATTCTTAGTGTTTGTTTGTAATAGAAGGGTGATTTGAATAAATGAGCACATAACCATACCTACTTGTTCCTGGTAGTGGCCCGAAAAGGAGGTTAGTCTGCAAGACACCAGATAGCTCATTTATGCACTTGGGATGTGCCTAAAACAGTCTTTACCAGATGGCTTAGTACCTTTTCGTATGCTAAAAAAAGAAAGCTTTCATAGTTGCTTCTTTATGCCATCACAGATTCCCACTGAATGATCCGGAACTCCTGAAGGCGTGGATGGAGAAAATGCCTTTTCGAGACTGGACGCCCAGTAGGTGGTCCAAATTGTGCTCAGTGCACTTTGCAGACAACTGCTTCTACCAGCTGAACAATAAGACATACCTCAAGCAAGGAAGTGTGCCAACAGTGTTCAGCTCTCCTGCAAGTAAGAGAAAACGGTCACTTCGGAAGCGATTAAGATCGCAATCTGACCAGGCCTCCCTTCTGTGCCAGCAACTGAAGCAAAGACATAGGTATGAACAGGGCCAGTTTCATTGCAGCAGATCACAATTTATTTATTTCCCTCAAAATAATTGTTGCAGATTTAATACATGAAGGGGATGGGTCCCAAGGAGCACTATTAAACTAACATGCTCACTCTCTGCACTTGACAACACTGCACACACACACACACAAAAAAGTCAGTACAACAATTACTAGGTAAAATTACACATGATGCAGACCCCAGTCTTCTGGTACTTTGGGTGACAAGTTGTACAATTTGCAAAGGTATACCTTTTGTATCTGAAAGTGGTGGTCAACGAATCACTAGAAAAGTGGCATCTTTGGAATCCAATAGACAGGTTTCAGTAAAGCATGGGGCTTCTATTCAGGTTCTTTGCAACAGCTTCAACCACCACCATTATAATGATTCCATGGCATGTCATTTTGCTTTTTACAATAATTCAATCATAAGTGAGTTTTGCGTTTTCGGTGTATACCAATAAACATTAAAATATAACCTCCGATAAATTTTTCTTGAAATCAGTAAAAACCGAAAAACCCCGAATTGAGCTCGCCTTGATGAAAAAGCCCACTTTCATATTGGGAACCTTTATAAATAACTGTATTTGTGCTTAACCAGAACATTGTCCGCGACGCTTTTTTCTTTATTTCGAAATTGTTTCTATGTGCTTCATTTAAAAATGAATGACGAATATAATGTTGCGTCTCCTAGAAGCGCCACAGATATGCATTCTATGTTATTACAGAAGCACCGTTAAAACCCGAATTTCGGTCGATATCAAATATAGACGCCAAAAAACTCAGAATTTGAGAGAGAAAAAAAAGAGATAAACACGAAAAAATCACCCCCATTTTGAAGTAATTAAACTTCGAGGGCACCTAAGCTTTCTCCTATGATATGAGAATGCAGGAGCATTACCTTTGGCCGGGTTATGTTGGCACAACGGATAGCGCACTAGTTTTTTTATCAAAGGGGCCTAGGTTCGAAACCAAGCAAGGGATGGTTTTCTTTTAGTTATTTATTTTTTGTTTCACCATTTGACCAGATAGATTACGCGACCAGAAAGATCACATGACTGGAGAGCTCACGTGACCAGAGAGATCACATGACGAAAGATTTCTTTTCTCATTGTCTTTTGATTTTTGATTGTTTTGGATTGGTCACGACTTTTGGTTACGGTTCTTGGCTACGGCCTGCGATCACGGCCCTTTTTTTGCTCATAGAGCCAGGTAATACTCACACATTAAAAAATAAATAACGAAAACTTGGAACCCTACTCATAAGCCAGAACCCCAGCACCCACTTTTTGTGGGTAAGTGCCACTTGTGGCCCATGCATAAAAGGTGTGGTCACATATCACACTCCACTGTATAACCTGCAAACAACGCATGCACTGGCACACAGTCTTGTGGAATACGGGCAGTCTTGAATGTCACTGCTCGTTTTGCTGACAGGTCTAGTTCTCCGGAAAGGCAGCCTGGATCAACAACCGAGCAGTCATCCCCAGGAGAGGCCCATGCCGCCGCTGGTTCTGGAAGTAGTGTAGAGATGGTTACTTCCCCCTCTTCGGCTACGACGTCAGAGACTCCCCCTGAAGCTGTGTTCATGCGACACAACACTTCCTCCGGTGACCACTCGTATGCAGCTGTGTCCCCACGACTGCAGGGGGTCCTCCTGGCCACGGGGAAGCACGAGCTGCAGGAGGTGAGGAAACTGTTGAAACAGGCTAAGAAGGAGACCAGTCGGAAGATGGCCAGGATTAGGAAGCTGAACACGCTGCTCTGTCAACTGAGATCACAACTTCCTAAGCCAGCAGTTAGATACTTGACAATGCATTCACCAACACAATGGGCAACCTCCTCCTAAAAATAGTTAGGCACAACAAAAATGCATGTACAGAGGATGTGCGCAAGTTTTCCCTTGCACTCCATTTTTACTCAGCAAAGGTGTAAAGCTTTCTGCGGAAGCATGTCAAGCTACCACACCCAAGCACCCTGTGGAAATGGGCAGTGGTGGTGGATGCACAACCAGGATTCACCCAGCAGTCCTTCGAAAAAGTCGCACAGTAAGCCCAAAAGGGACGTCTTTTCGTCAGCCTCACGGTCGTCGAGATGGGCATAAAAAGCCAAACAGACTAGGATGATGAAGAGGTTGTCGGGTACTGCGACCTGGGTCACGGCATCATCCGCAACGACTGCGTCACCTCTGCAAAGCATGCACTTGTTAGCCAACAGAAACTGGAACATCCCCCTGGGCTACGCCCTCATTGATGGTCTGGACGGCAACGTTCATGCCAACCTGGTACGGGAGTAATCATCAAACTGAAGGAAGCTGGAGCCGAGTGCATAAGTGTGACCTTTGACAGGACAAACCACAGCATTACCATGCTCACAGTGCTCGGAGTGCACTTTGCTCAGATGCTGAAGAGGTTGTTCAGCAATCCATCGGACCCCACCAGCAGGCTCCACGCTGTCTTGCGACGCCACATGCTAAAGCTCATGCGCAACCAGCTGGACGAAAGAGGGTGCATCAGAGATGGGGCAGGTAGGGTCGTGGCCTGGCTCTGAACAACCTGCAGCAGCAAGAAGGCCTTCACGTAGCCAATAGGCTCCGAAAGCAGCACATGCTTAGACCATGACCTAAAGGTAGGGATTCCCCATTGCAGCACCTCCACTTTTAATGCCACTTTTCTACCCCAGACCTCCATTGATTGGAATCGCCTTCCCACACATATAGTCTCAATAACTAACACTGTTGATTTTAAAAATGTTATTACCAACTTTTTCTAGATGTTGCATAGTGTGTGTTTTTTTGTTGTTGTTTTTTGCCTCGCTTAACTATGCATCTTTTATGTGTTAACCGCCCACTCCCCTCTGTATTGCTTTCGTGCCCTGAGGGAATAATAAATGAAATGAAATTGACTTTGAGAGACAAAAGATGAAGGTGCCATTGTCAGCCCAAACCTTGAGCTGGTCCGTCAGCTGTGCCTTGTGTTGAAGCCACTGCTTCAACACCAACTTGTTGCCCCAAATTCGGGGGAACTGCCCCATGGAGCGAACCGACGTCATCAGCTTTGAAACCACGCCAACCATTGGCCAAATGTCAACTAAAATTCCCTTTCCCAAGTGAAGCCGATTTCTGATGGATTATGCTCCCATTGGCCGGTGCACGTCATCAAGGAACGCAGCTCCTATTGGCTCTTGTTCTTCGTAATTCCAAAAAAAGCCACCAGAGAAGCCCTCTCCATGGCGGCGCAGCGCACGCAGCAGCGCGGCCGCCGGTAGGAGGATGGAGTGGAGGCTGCAGAGCCAACAGAGCCCGTCCGGGCTGATTCCAGAGAGGTCGCATGGCCGAGCTCAGCGCGGCGCGGCCACTTCACGAAAGCGCGCGCGCTAGGCCGTCTGCCGGCGAAACGTGGCCGTCCACGCCACTACGCCGCAGACGAACTAAGGAAGCGGAAGAACGACATTTATGCTTTCGCATTCACAACTCGTAAGAAGTGTTTTTTTTTGTGTGTGTTCTTTTGCCGCAGCTCCTCAGACACATGTAGGTCTGGAAATAAAGATTATTTATATTATTAACTCACGCACACTTGTTGTTGTAATATTTATTTGTATTTTTACAACATGTACACGGGAGAACCGCTAAGCAGTCCGGATCATCCAAAGCACGGATGTCCCGGAGACTAAGTTTTAACTAGGGCTGGGCGTCAATTTTTACCGAATAATTTACCAATTAATAGATTTCGTACATTTCCATGTATCATAGTTTAAAAAAAGTAAATTACAATTTTTTTGCTTCTGTTAAATTTGTAATAAACGAGAAAATGTAAAATTTCATATTTTAAATAAACGTGGATGTGTATTTGAGAACAGCCAAAAGACACCCACACTCACAAATTATTACTTCAGCTTCAAGCGGCGTTCACACTCTTGCGACTGACTTCGACCGAGATAGACCAGACCGGTTTTTAATCCTCTTGCGACTTCTTAGGACCGGGCGCGCTGCTGCGGAGCTGGTCCTAAGAAGTCGCAAGAGGATTAAAAACCGGTCTTGTCTCTCTCAGTCGTACTCGGTTGCAAGAGTGTGAACGGGCCTTCAGAAGCAAACAAGTTCGTTAATATTTTCCGGCAATAGGGAACTCCTTTGATTGTTCGGAATATTCTCAGCTACGCTAAACGGACAATCGCATGGCGTTGAAGTGGCTGTGGCACATGTAACATTCACTTCACTCGAGTTGCATATCTCGCCCCTGCGGTTTACTTTAGGGTCAAATGTTCACCTAAAGTTTGCCTTCGTGCAGGTGTACTCGTACACGTCTGCGTGGTGAAAGCGTTCAATCTTACTTTTTTGTTTCTCAAAATTTAACCGACTAACATGTTTAAAAATTTAATCGCGATTAAAGCATTGATTCATCGGTAGGCTGTTAGATTAAGTGCCCGGACCAAGTTATACCGTAACGTAGGAAAGCAAGCAAACGTTCTATTTTTTCTATGACCTTGATCAGTGTGCCGGTCTAGCTTGGCGTTTCAACGCAATGCGTTTTTCATAAAAAACGGCTAATCCGAACCACTTCGCTCGTAGCACCCGAGAGAGGGCGCTACGAGCGAGGTGGCTTTAAAGCCCTTTAATTAGCCTTTTTTTTTTTTTTTTTCCACATGCAGAGGTGCAGAAATAGCACTCCGGTGGCCCCACTCGTCCTGACCGGTGAGGAGGCACCTCCTCCTCACCGTGTTGTCCTCTTTGCTCCGGAGTTGAGTTAAACAAGTTTCTAGAGTAATTAGACCCATACATAGCTCATGAGGCATGTTGCCTGCAGGGACTTACGCGGAACACCTCTCAAGAAACGAGTTTGTATTGACAAGAATTCAATTATCGTAAGTTGAAACTTATTTCGATCGGCTCTTTAGGCAAGTATAATTGCCCACATTTTTAGTCGGAGTGGTCGGGGGACAGTTGTTCAGGATGGCTCAGGCGGTGTTGGGTATGGTAGTGTGGTCACACCACCATGCGGCTCAAAAAGTCCCATTGCTCCTAGACGACAGTGAAAGCCACAAGGAAGACCGCTCTCTAGCCCGGATATAGAAGAACGTGGCGGGGCAGCACTGAGCATCTCGCTTGATCTCATCTCGCAACACTGGTTGCAGGGACTCCCAAAAACGGAAGACAAGCGCGAGGAAACTTCATGAGTTGTGATCCTGGGCCGGCTTGCTAGAACTAAAGCCTCTATCCTGGGAAGAGTGGCGCCATTCATTGATGTGGAAATGCTTGAGACACATGCCGAGCGCCACTTCTGGGAAGAACATGACGTCTGAAATCTAGCTCAGTGCTTCGCTGTGCCGCCATGAACTTCCCAAGAGCTGCACGTTGCACGTACCTCGTGCATCGACGCAGCTCGCGCTACTTTTAAAACATGAAGGGGTTTTCGTTAGAACAGCCTCTCAGCTGAGATAGAGTGTTCTGGAAAAGACGAGTGGGGTCACCGGAGTGCTATTTCTGCACCTCCGCATGTGAAAAAAAAAAAAGGCTAATTTAAGGGATTTAAAACTACTTCGCTCGTAGCGCCCTCTCGGGCGCTACGAGCGAAGTGGTTTGGATAAGCCGTTTTTTATGAAAAACGCCTTGCGTTCCAACGCCAAGCTTGACCGGCACACTGATCAAGGTCATGGAAACAGTCACAGGCGTAGACTTCGGGGGGACATCGGGGCACGGGCCATGATCCTTACCGAGACGCTGTTTACGTGTAACGCCGACGTCGCCTTTATTGACAAAATACATGGGAAATGGAATCCCAGCTTGCTTTTGTTAGCTTCAATCTCCAGTTCTGGCGAAAAGGCAATGCGCTGCACCCCCCCCCCCCCCCCTCCGAAAAACGTCTCAGCCTGCCGCCCCCCCCCCCCCCCCCCCCCCCCCCCCCCGGGAAAATGGAATGTCTACGCCGCTGGAAAGAGTAGAACGCCGGGTTGTAATTTATATACAGCCTAGACGTCAGGCGTCACGTCAATACATAATGTCACCGCGACCTGACTTGTGGTAAGAACGCCATGCGACATCACGACGACGCCTTGACGTCAACGTCGTCATCGACGTTGACAACGCGCATTACACAATATCAAGACTGCGTTCTGACGTCATATTGCGTTGACAACGACGTCGATATCAACGTTGACGACGACGACGACGTCGCGCGACGTCAAGATGACGGCGTCCTTGTCAATTCGGCGTCATAAAGACGCTTGGTGTCAGGTCGTCGACATGACGCAACTCGACATCACGGCGACGCCCCGACAACTTCACGACGTCGACGTTGATGTTGGCGAAGGCGAAGACGTTACACGCCGTCAAGGCTTCATCGTGACGTCGTTGTGGCTTTGACGTTGACATCGTTCAAACGACGTTAACGCGACGTCATAGGGACATTTGAGGTTGATTAAGGCGTCGACGTCAACGTCAGCATCAACGTCCACGTTCACGTCGTTCTCAACGCGGCGCAGCGCCATGACCGCGTTACAACGGCGACTTGATGTCGGAAACAGCGTCCTCCTCGACGCGACGCGCTGTCACGAAAGCCTTACGACAGCATCTTGGTGTCAGGTAACGTCGTGGCGTCGTCGTAACGCCACGTCGTCGTGACGTGGTGTTTTGACGTTGCCTCTGACTTCAAAATCATAAAAAAAAAAAAACAATATAGCCCTATATTGCCCACATGACCTTGACATGTGTCGCCGCTCGCTTCGATCGCAGCGAAGGTATAGATAGGCCTTTTGCGCTGAAGCTTTGAACAAACTGTAGCGCACTCATTTTGGGTAGTACAAGCTCACCTGATTGAGCCTCGCACTACTTACGGCACGTTGGTTGAGCTTTTTTTTATTCTGTCTGGTGCTGAAGAACAAAAAAACACCTTTGGACGCCAGAAATCGGCCAGACTCAACGCCACAAGACAATCAAAAGTGCCAAATTTAAGACACCACCGCTAGGGTACGCGTATCTTGTCTCTGGGTGCATGGTGATGACAAAACACCTGTGTCGCGACGCTTTCATGTTTCTTTTTTTTTGCCATGTCTACTTTGGAACGGGTGAAAGGGCATCTCTTGGCTCACGCTCTTAGCGTCTTAGCTTTGACAGCGTTCGAATGTTTGTTGTTCTTTGTATTTTCACCGTGATCTCGAGCTCCGCACCAGAGCAGGCACGCATCTGCATGCGTGGCAGCTTGAGACGCTAAAGTTTGTACTACCCAAAACAAGGCCTAACAAGTCTCTTTTCATATATCACCCCCTGGGCAACGCAGGAGGCTTGGTTCCACCTGATCGCTTTCTACAGTTTGAGGTGCCACTGAGAGCATGAGCGGAGCCTGTAGTGCCTGTAGTTCGGCCAGGCTCTGGTTCGGCCCACTCAGTCGTTTCGAGTTCACTCTAGCTGAGACTGTGTGAAAGAAAGCAGTGCAAAATGTGGGGCGCGCGAACGTCTTGAGACGCGGCTTGAGTCCCGCTCAGCTCGTGCGCTGGCTTTGACATTGTTTCCTTTCCTACAGTCTCAGCTAAGACGCTGTTTCTAGCAATTCGGCCCTGGCTGCTTATCAATAGTTGCAAAGAACAAGGGTCATGGTTGGTGTAAAGCGCACAGTGGAAGCTTGGAGTCGTTGCATTATTAAACCAATACCACGAAAGTTGATCGTCTCACATATTCCTATTTCAAAAAATGAGGTAAAAAGTAATCCAATGAAAAACAGCCAGAGGAGGGTTTCGCCCAAGTGAAACGCTTTTGATTGCGTACTTCTAGTTGAAGGGATTTATTAGACCCTTTTCGTGAGCCTCGGATTTGAGCCACGATGACCAGCTGTATGTTGCCTTACGTGAGGCGCAGTTACTGGAACGCTAAAACTGAAAATCTCAAATCTCGGCACGATGGCGGACAAAACAGAACCGGCGCGGTTGAAAAGTTGAACCTTAAAAATATATATGTTTGTTTATTTTGGGAGTAAAGAGAAAAAAATTTCCCTTCGTCGTCGCTATTATATGTAGTTCAATATTTGCACATTTCGTGGCGTCAAAACATGGCGGGCAGCATTAAATAGATTATTTGTAGGCACTAAGCGTTTTCGACAACTTGCTTGTGACGCGCTTCTAATTTTTTTCTTTCGCACGATTAACTGTGATTGCAAGAACGAGGAAGCAGCGCGAAAAAATATTTGAGACAAGAATCCTCTGCGTCATGAGGAACAGAATCAGCGCCAATTTTCCTGAAGTCCTCAATCTCGAATTTCATCCACCTTTCAAAAGATGGCGCAAGTGCGCGTCGTGCGCTACAACATAAGTCTTTTTTAATATTTAGGACAATTAGTATGCTTTGAAAACATGACAATCATAGAAAGTGATTTTAATTAGACCGTAAAAAGCTCTAAAGAATTGTTGTTTAAACAGTTGTCCTCTTCTCTGGAACCTTGCGTACAGAGTCGAGCTTCGACATAGTCCCATGATTTAAAATTATTTTAAGTAAATCTGAATATGAATACAACTAAACCAGCCTTACAGAGAACCAGCCCAGTTCCTCTAGCGTACAATTCAGAAAGAAAAATAGAAATGAGATCAG